ACACTTGTTGGCTTAAAAAGATTGTTTGCAATTCTTCTTAATTTATCGCTAGACATGTCTTTTTGGGCTACCATAACCTATAATTAACAAAAATTGACTCACCTCCAATTTGATTCTTATATGCATGAGTACGCTTATGATTGTCTAACACTTCTACAACAACACTAGTATCGGACCACAATGGTCAAATACCTTAAGAAAAGCGATTAGCCTCTATCATATGAGAGTTAGTAAAACCTAATTGTTAGATGGTGGAGGAAGCAAATACCTTATCGATTCCCGGCTCAAAGATGGCTAAGATCTTTGGTTTATGTTGTCTAGCGTAATCATAACAAACTACTTTAAATAGCTTATACCCGGCATCTTGGTGATTCCTAAACATAATATTCATTATCATCATTAAAAAAAAAATACATAAAGGACATATCTAAACCTCAAAAGCTAGATAAATAGAACCTCGCCTTCCTTTTAATTCTATAATCATGGGCTCATAAGCATAACCTATTTTATTCTAAAGATACTAATTTTACTGTTTTAGTCTTAAAAATTTGTTTTGACTAGAGTGAGACACTTCATAGGTTGTTTTTTAAATACGGATTGTAGGTTTGACGTGTTCCTTCTTCTTCTTCTTATTTGTAGCAAGAACCATGTTAGACGGTTTATCCATTGCAATTGGCATATCACAATCAAACCCAACCTTAAAAATTTCTCTTTCCATTTAATTCACATCTTCATCAATTGAATCACTTCTCACCGATAGATTCTCGATGTCTTTCATTTTTAATTGATTAATGTCGTCATTTTCATTAGTAAGAATCAACGTCATGTTCTTATTAGCTATCTTCATTATCGAATGTGTTGATTCAATTTTGTTGTTCTTCACGACCATTAGAGTGATAGACAAGTCCGTAATTTTATTGCTATAGTGGTTGCAAAGCCAACAAACCGGGCTTTAAAAGGTGAGTCCATGTCGGCTTGTGCGAGTCTAGCTTTATTATTGCTATGTTGGGCTTGGTTAAAACAATTAAGAATGGGTCGTGATAAGCTAGTGTGAGGGTCCGGTATGAAATCCATTTTTGTTTCATTGTACATGTACTAGGTCTTGATTAGGTATCTCATAACAGATTGTACGAGTTTAGATTTATTTTTATGAAGATAGGCTTGGCTAGGGCAAATAGGTTTTGGTCTTAAAAGGCTAGCGTGAGGGTCGACTATGATATGTAAATTATTTTCCACTCGTTTGTAGAATAGAGAAATGGGATCCTTTTCTTAAAGTCTCCTTGATTGCCAAATCAGATTTATTCACTATAGGTAATTTGTATCCCATAAAATCCTCCTTCCTTGTCTTCTTCTTTGGCTTAGTCCGTGCATGAATATAAGGCCCTAATTTCTCTCTATTAACATTGATCCTAGGTATATTATGATCACCATTCATTAATTTTTCATTCAATGTAACATTTTCTTGGATTTTCAATAATACTAGAACTTGTTGTAGAAATACGTGAAAGACAAAACAAGTTACTATGTCCCACTCTCCTACATGGTTAACGGACTCATGGTAAGACTTCATACGTTACTTTTTGAGTTTTACCATCAATCCAAAAAGAATTTTCAAAGGTGCCTCTAAATCAATATCGTAGCAACTTTAGCAAACTTGGCCATCATATTTGTTTGTGTTTGTAATCAATTTTGATAGTGTTGTCTATCATTTTACCCATTGCTCACAAGATTTAAGGATGGTACTAATCCAATGGTAGGTCTAGAAACCTTATCCATACCACTCGCATATTTAATTTTGCTTTCAAAAGCTCTAAAATCAATGACAAAGAATTACCTAAGGATCCCTTACCCAAGCATGTAAGTAGTCAAACCGATTGGAGAATTGCACCAAGAAGTAATCATTCTCCATATCAATGACCTTAAATGGGCTCGCGACATTCTAGATAGTCTTCAATCTAATACATAATGCTTTATAACTTACAAGTGTGGTCAAAGAGTTCCTATGGTTTTTGGAGCCTATCCTTAAATGGTGCCGACAATTTAATAGATTTAACTCGATCTTTCTCCATAATAGTGATGTCTTCCTCCTCAACTTCAATGTCTTTAAGAGATTTCCATTCAAAGTTATGCGATATCTTTGATTCTTTCTCATTCATCGCTACTTTCTTAAAGTTTAGTCCATTTATTAGGTTCAAGGTTAGGATCTTTGTCTCTTAATCCGATTTTTTTGGTGTATCGATCGGATTCGGAGATGTCATAGTTTTCAAACTCTCTAATGAAGAGAGAATTTAGGAAGCTAAAGAGAACCATAAAAACTTTTTGATATAATCTACTTATTTTTTCTAAATTGACTAAAATGGATATTTAATATATGTAATACACATAACATTATTATGATACAAGTACTAATGTAGTGTGGTTCATATGGCATGTCATCCATGTAGAACTTTGGACTTGTACATTCACGAGATCTTTTCTCTAGTATTATTTATTTACAAGTTTACGTACATGTAATTTATGTTTTCTATATAAATTTTTAATTTTTTTAAGGTCATGTTTCAACATGTTATTGAATAATAGGATCAATGTTTAATTTATCATTATATTTTAAAGTGAATCAATTATATTTTATTATTTTAAGTGAGTTTTAAATATATTCTTTTAGTGAATTTTTTTGACTTAATCATAAAAAACTAATGTGAATTTCATATGAATAATTTTTTTTATAAAAAAATCAAATGAACTCGTGCAAGTCAATTTTTTTTAGGAATTTTTTTAAAATAATAATAATAATAATGAGCAACTAATGTGATTTTTCTAGTGACTTTGATCGAAAAAATTCACTAGATCGAAAACTCACTTAATGTAATTAGTTTATTTTAAGATATAAAAATAATATTTTATTATATAAAAAAAGACTAAAGCCATATTTTTCTTTTCTTTTCTTTTCTTTTTTTCCGGCAACTTGCTCTTGGATTTGAACCCGAAACGTAATTACGAGGCAAACTCCTTTTCATTAGTGGCAACAAGTGGGAGTAGAACGATATTGAGGTCATGTCAATTTGAGTAGAGTGATCTATAATGCTAGTTATACATCAAAGAACCAAACAAGTTTGAATGATCCAAATCTTGATCGTCATACCATAACATTTGACCATGCTTAGTTATACATCTAGCTTCGATCAAATCCTATCTTCAACTCATTAATTCTCTCTCCTGTCGCCAAAACAAGACTTCCCATATGATTACATTTCAAGCCATCTCATTAGGAGCATAAAACCATTGAAAATAATTTTAATGAATAAACTTAATTTTTAAATATTTTTATTCTTAATTTTTTAATCCAATTATTAAGAACAATAAATTTATTTTTAAAAAATATATTATATCTATATAAAAAATGTATCACAAAAATATTGAGAGCAAGTAAATATATTATATCTTGCCATTAAATTTATTATATATACATATATATCGAAAAAAACTTAATCTCAATTAATAAATTAATTAATAGGAAAATAACCATAACTGTGGATTTTTTTTTTTTTTTTGAAAAAAAGCGCTTTGTAAATGTTCTAAAAATTGTGATAAATTAACCTCCTAACCCATTCGAAGAATGTTAAGGCCAATTTTGCACTGACGATTGGAACTTTTCAAGTGGAATAAACCACTGGCTGCCTTCCAGCCACGTCACATCGTTAGTGGGGGCCCACTCGAACAACTTAAAAACCAGTGGGTGTCTTGTTTAGTTGTTTCAGGTGGAATTAGCACCCAACTTCCTCATCTAGCTAATCTGCCCCTGAGGGTATTTTTGCCACGAGAGAAAATGTGGGAAAGATTGTGTGGGAAGAAAATGGAGTGAATCATAAATCATTTCCTCTGGTTTTGAGAGATTAATTAATCAGTCTCCACTGACTCAAAAGCTAATTATTTAGTTATTTCTGTTATTTTTTGTTTATTTTCTATTCATTTCTAATTTGTTTTTTTTAATAGAAAAAAATAAATAGATATTCTAGAAAAATTGACGAGAAATGAATTTTTTTAAACAATAAAATAATATTAAATTAAACAGTTAAAAATTAAATAATTAAGTTCAAAACAAAATACACTAATTAATTTGTTTAGCAAAAGTGGAGGGACTAATTTATAATTTACGGGTGGACCTGGAAAGAAAGGAATGTTGCTCAGCACCCTTACTAGTTATCAGGGAAAGATCATATAAGATACCTACCGATTTGTTTTGTAAACTGGCAAACCAATAGAAAAGGGCTACTACCATCATCAAGCCGAAGCAAATAAGTTTTCCATCCTACATACATGGAAACATTCACGGAAGTTGATTTTGACAAAAATAATGGCTGAAAAGCGTGATGCCAGTCATACATGTTAGCTGGCTTAGCTAGGAAGCAGAAGAGTATATGAACTTTATGGAGAAACCTGCAGTGAGAAAGTTTACACTTGCAAAATTGGCCACCATTCAACCAAAGAGGCTAATCAAGTTTCGGGTTAATCATCTGACATAAATGGATTTCATATGCAGTGATTAATCACGAGGTACAAAGGGTATGAAGACCTTCTCCAGCTGCAAAACAGACAAGAAACATGACGTAGAATTATTGCCATGGTGACTATCATATACAGTAAGTTCAAATTAAGAAGCAAGGATGACTCAAAATTACATGGAACTGGACATCAACGGAAGGAAGCTTGATCTCTAATAACACCACACTACCATAACTTTAAGATCATTAGTAAAATAAGACCCATATCAACATTAATACTACATGCCAGTGAAGCGGGAATCAGTCATACCCAAAATATTACGAAGGGAAACGGCGATTTAGCTAGTGATCCTAATTCTGGCCAGTAGTCCATACTAGACTGTAAAAACCTAAGGATGAATGCATGGTGAAGAGTTAAATACCCAAAAGAACATTCCTTATAGGTCGTTGGATTAGCAGCTACCATCACGGCTAACTTCCGATAACAGCATTTGCTATTCAATAGAAGAAAAGAGGATCCCCCTTCTGTTGGTACATCTCAAATAATTGCTTAGAGTACTTGATAGCCAGTCTTCTGCAATCAGCGGTGCCTTTTAGGTCATATGCAATCATCTCTACAACTGATTTCTTCAGCTTCCCTTGGGGATCCCCATTGATGAGAAACTCCGCCAAAGCAGTGCCCCTGGAGAAATTGTTAAGTTCATGAACAATAGTAACAAGCAACAAATGGAAGTTTTTCTTTTTTTAGAAAAAAAAAAAAAAGACCGGGGAAGATGTTATTTTCAAAGATAGTGTCATAAACAATAATCACAAACCAAGATAGAGCAGTTAGAAGTACAACTAGTGACAGATTTTATTCCCCTTCTAGTGTTAGTGAGACAAATACCAACTCGTCCATTTGTCAAACAGACAACCTGAATTTTAAACCGCATCACCTGATTATAGCAGGTCAATAAATATACTTATCCACTTTGGGAGACAAGTAGTATATTCTTTTCCACTCTCTTTCTTTCTCTAAATGTAGCCTGCTAAAATAACCCAAGATACCATCACAGCAAGCAACTCAACCTCCTCACCTCATCTTCACTTCCAGCCAGCAAAACGTCACCTATCTATGCCTGAACTTCTACATACAACTCAAATTGGATCTACAAACCCCAAATACTTTCCTCTAATTTACAATGGTAATATGCACCACCCAAAAAAGAAAAAAATAATAGCACCCATGCAAATCTGTCCAAGCCTTTCCTATGTCATTGGAGTAATTAACTTAATTGATTATCATGTCATGAAACCACCAAACCAGTTTACTTCTATTCTTGTACAAAATTAAATTGCTTCCTAACATACACAATTAATTCATGAGAACTGCAGTCTAGTTCATTGCTGAAAGAAATGCTGTTATGCAACAAAGTAGGGTCAAATAATCCTCACTATGGAAAACGATTCCAAAATTACTACGTATCCATCAATTAATGCCAGTGGCACATGAAGACAGAACATTATGCAAGATTAGTCATACCTGGCTGCATCAACCTTGTCAAATCCTTGATTTAGGAAAGTTGAATAGAAGTTCGATGATTTCTCCACAGCAGCCTGCTGTCCGAACAGAGCACAAACTGCCTTTAAACGAAGTTCTACTTCCTGCTCTAGTGCAGCAACCATTTCTGCTTCAGATTTCCACTTTCTATGATTTCTATTTGCTTGCACCGGTTTTGTCATGTAAGAGAAGTCAATTGAAAAATCAAATTCTTCCGACTCAGAGGAGCTGGAACTCTCCTCACTGTCAGAACCAACAGAACGATCCAAAACAAGCTCACTCCTCTGAAATCGGGAATTCTGTCCAATCCTAATTTTCTCCTCACATTTTCTCATAACAGTTGGAGCTAGCCTTGATGGAGTAAAAACATTTCTTCTGTCATTACTTCCAGAAAACATGGTTGTTGCAGCACTATGATTGACAGGAACACTTTCATGGCCCTGAATCAACACTTGGCTTTTTGTTGGCCTCAGTGGATCGCTACCACCATCATCATCCTGAGAAGTTGAACAAGAGGTTTGTTTTCTTTTGAGCAATTTGGTCTCATTGCTGACAACTTCCAGGCCTAAATCTGCTTCACGCTGACATCCTTGCTTGGTCAATTTTTTTCTTCTTGAAGAAGAGCCACCATCACTGTCAGCAATCTCTATAATTTCTTGCGATTGAGGTGTTAACCTGCCTGGCAAGAAAAAAGTACCCTATTAATTCACAAACATAACATTGCAAATAGTAAGTAAATAGTATCATCTTGCAGGAATATTTATCCAGTCAAGTGGCAGGCGATACCCTCAACATTCCACAAGCCACTAGGCCATGCCATAATCTGATTTACCCCAGATTCCCGGTAGGTAATATTACACCTATGCTAGTCAGCGTAGCAGTCTGTTTCTCGTCTATTTGCTAGTGCACTTACGCTCATGTGAAGTTGTCATGAGTTACCAATAACTGGGTAAACGTATATTTGATTAGTTTCCTAATGTTAATATTCCAAGTGATTGGAAAGGTATTTTTCTAGATCAGATTGAAGAAGGGTTAATCCAGTTCACTTATTCTCTGTTCATTTAAGGTTCATAGTTCTTTAAAGTTCATTTGCTCATAGGAGCTAGAGCTGAACAAGAATTTCAATGGACTACAAAGGATATGGTTTAATCCAGTTCACCTATTTTCAGTTCTTTTAAGGTTCATGGTTCTTTAAAGTTCATTTGTCCATAGGAGCCAGAGCTGAACAAGAATTTCAATGGACTACAATGGATTTTTCAGCATAGTTTCTTTTGACTAAGAACTTCAAGCCAAAGCAGTGGCGCAGAAATTTAAGTTTAATAGACTTCAGAAAAATCACATATTGGGAAAAACAAGAATCAATCACTCTTAAATGACAGGATGATTACACCGATTTTTAGGGCCCCATTCTTTCAGTTCTCCAAACAAAATATGAGGGAAAAAATAAAGCAAACATAATCAACTTAAGTAATGCGTTCTTATAGTTCTCTAACCAAAACATGAGCAATAAATACAGTCGAATTAACAAATTCAAATGACAATAAAAACACAATGATCATAGCAATACCTGAAACACCAATGTTTCCATCTCCATTCTCTAGCAAGTTGCTCCTAGAACCTCCATTTGCCCCTAAAACCATGTTCTCACGGATATCAACAGCACCCATCTCAACTTTCACATTACAAACCCTTTCACTGCTCTTTCCATTTTCATTCACAGCCTTATCTCCCAAACCATCACCAGAAACCAAACATAGAGCACCCACATCACCATTTACCCCAACAGCAACAATATCATTATAATCACTGCAAACCACCTCAGTTTTCTCAGGATTGACATTCTCACAACTGTTAGCATTCTCATCGAAAACAACCTTCTCTTCCACAACCCCCCTAGAAACCCTAACATTATTTACAGACTCCTCAGGTTTCAGTAACTTCAAATCCTTCTCTAAAAGGAAAACTCTCATCCGCAATTCCTCAAACTTACTCTTGAATGTATCAACTTCATTCTCTGCCTTCAATTTCGCACGCTTCAACTCACAAATTTCCTCTCTGAGCTGTGTTATCATCCTCTTATCCTCTTCACTACTCATCACTAACTCATTAAAACCTTCTTGCTCTTTCTTCAACCGCAGACACTCTCTTTTACATTCCTTAAGCTCATTTTCAGCTTTTAGTCTCTCCAATCTCTCTATCTGAGCCCTATTTTCCATCAATTCATTCTCTCTTTTCCATGACTTATTCTCAAGTTCCAGTTTCTGTTTCATGGACAAAAAATAACCTTCAACTTCAGCAAAATGCTGAGAAGTGAAAGCTGATTTCAAAGACCAAACCTTTTCCCTTATAATTTTATCGGTGAAACTCTCTTCAACAGCTCCTTCTAAATCAACAACTTGTAAATTTGACCCAGATGCCATGTTTAAGAGAATAAAACATACAGACAGACAAAAAGCTTGAGTCTTAGCAGGTTTTAAGGGAAACTCAGATCAGAATCAACGGTTTCGAGGTGTTTTTAAATGGTTTCAGCGGCAGAAAAATGTGGAGAAAGTAGCGGTATTTTAAAGGTTTTTATTTTCTTGTAAGCAAAGGTGAAACTTTTAGTGCCTGTTTGAGAAGGAGGAATGAAACGGTGGAAATAACAATAAAAGTTCTAATTTATTTTATAAGTATTTGGATAAAGTTTTAATTCTATTTTATAAGTATTTTGTTGAAAAAAATAATATGAAGCTGAAGAAATAATATCAGAAGAGAATAAATAACAAAAATTAGAATTACAATTAAACATAATTTTATCGTGGTAATGAATGAGAGAATAAAAAAATTGAAAATAATTTTTTTATACATTGTTTCTATTTATCATATACCAAATTATTTTTATCACTTCGAGCACCTTCGTATTCAATACTAACACATTATTGACAATTGTGATGAAAAAATTTCAAAAATAACTATTATTATTATTATTATTCCATCATTATTTTTATTAATTATCATTATCAGTTTTATCGTGTCACTACCACCATTAAGGATAGAAATAACAAAAAATTAAAAAAAATTATTATTATAATTATTTGACCATTGTTTTTTTTATTATTGTCATTATTATTTTAATTATACGAACACTGTCGTCACTTTCTTCTACTAGCACCTCTTATAAATGTGATATCAATTTTTAAAAATATATTATTATTATTACTATATTATTATTATTAACACCTCTATTTTTTTAATTTTTATTTTTATTCATCTCAAAAGTAGAGATTAAAAATTTTAAACTTTATTATGATCTTTTATTTTTATTTTAAATGTAATATAAATATATAAATACCATTTTAATTCTCTATTTATTTTTTTTATTCATACATTTTTGTTTATTTTTTATTTTTAACAAAACCAGGCCTTAGGTTCCTAAGTCCGGATTCAAATGAGATTTGATAAATAAAGATTTTGATGATTTCATTTCATGCGAATCTGAGTGGTCTAAGCAAGCCACGTGGTTCTGATTTTTTTTATCCACCACGGCCCTTTCCTGTTTTTCTCGTATTTTATGTTGTATTTTTCCGCATTAGAGTGCTTTGTTTGTATTGTAATCTTTTTTGAATTTCTTTAGATTTTTATCATTCCTGAATATGAGTTTTGAATTTCTTTTGTATTTTTCGACTTTTAGTATATTTTTTTTATAAATACCTCTTTGGGATCTTTGTTGTCTGAGTTCATCAAATTCTAATGGAGTTGGACAAGAACACATTTGAAGTACATATTAAATATTTATATTTGTCATGTTTCTATTTGTCAAATTCTAAAAATAAATAAATAATATCTCAGAAATCTTTAGGAAGTGGGATAATTTTTTTTTGGGATTTTTTTTTATTATGATTTATTTTTTCCTGCTTTGTTGGGTATTACCGAACAAAATCCACAACCAAGAAAATAGCATCTCTTTATAGCTTAGGTGGGACTATTTAACGTGCAATGTTTATTATAATTTATAATTTTATACCCAAAAAAATAAAAATAAAAAGAGTTGACTTGCTACTATAAAGATAATTTACAGAAAAATCAGCTATAGTATTGAATGCGAGTCATGTTTATTCTGTATTTTTGATGGTATTTTTGTGATTTTTAAACATTTATATGTGTTTTTATTTAATATTGTATTTTGATTTTTGATGTTTTCAAAAGTTGTTGTTTTAATTTCTAACATTATTTGTATCGTGGTTTGATCTCCATATACCAAGAAGAAAGAGAAACGAAAGGGGGAAAAAAAAAGCTAAGGCCAATCTTGGTTTCATCCATTTTGGCTATCAATTTTACATTAAATTTTTTTATCTTGGAAAAGATGTTTTGTTCCGAAGGAAAAAACTTGTTACGGAAGAACGGAATAAACAAAACCTTTTTTTTTCCTCTCATCATAGCTCTTAAGATCACCGTTGAATCAAATAAATTATGATAAGAAGTTTCATCCATTACCTCTTAAAACGAAGTCACGACGTTGCGGATTGAACCGTTCAAGTGTCCAATCGCTAATAATAATCCATGCAACTTTGGACACCAACACAAGAGGGGCAACAATCCAAGATTGCTAGCTCCACTTTTCTTAAATAATGAAGAAAATCCCACCTTTTGCTTTTTTGGAGGTTTCGACCGGCCTTGCTCTAATAAGAGAGGGTGGCTTAATGTATATATGTTTATTAAAACCTAAATTGGGTTTTAATGAACTTTTTTGAAAAGTTCTAAAAAATGCCTCTTCTTTTAAAAGATCCCCTATAGACTTCATTTAAGCCTATTAGCCCAACGCTTTGGGCCCAATGACCTAGCAAAAGATGGACCGCACAAATAAGCTAGACCGAATATTTTCGACGAGTCAATTTAGAAAACTATTTCCTAAATTACTCTTAACGAATTTTAGGAAATAATTTTTTTCCTCAAATTTCTCTCGTTGCTTAAAGAATTGAAATCAATTATTTCAATTCTCTTTTTCTTCGAATTCTTTGTTTCTATTTATTGGGACTAGTGTCAAGCTTAATGCGTGTGACTCATTAGGCTTCTAGATATGTTGGCAATAAATCAAAAAATAAAAGACGATTCTTTTATCTCTCAATACATAAATCATGATTAGCCTCTAGTAAGGGATCATGACTACCAAATTATCAAGAAGCATTCTTTAATATGTAACAATCTTTTACGAGAATGGTTTTCATAGAATTTAGTTCTCACTAGATGGGTACTCGCGCTACACCGCGGTTAGACACCCATTGTAAACGTGGCATTAACGATTCCTATGGTATACTCGCGAATAAAAGTTTTATTTTTGATGATTAATGTAAACCAAATCTATATATTGAGCGAAATCGCTTTATATATATATTTTTTTATTTTTTTATTTATTATTATTTATTTATTTATTAATAAAATATTTAATAATATTAGCAAAAAAATTTGTATTTGAATAATTGGAAAATTCTTTCAAAACATTATGTAACTTATTTTATTTTAAAAAATAAATTTTATAATATAAACAATAAATAATAAAGAATGGGTATTATGTGTGCCGATATATAGTTAATTTATAATAAAACTAATGTTATATATATATATCATACTTAACATATTCAAATTATATAGAATAAATAAAAAAACATACGAATAAACTCAACTAAATTGTATGAAATATATTGAAGTCAATAGACTAAAAAACAAACTACAACAAAATTAATTCGACAAATTCCGAATAAATATATATAAAAAATTTGTGAATTTTTTAAAAAAAATTAAGCCACACTATCTAAAACATACTCTCTCTCTCCTCTCTCTCTCTCTCTATCTCTCTATCTATCTATATATATATATATATATATATATATAATAAATTATAACAATTTTTTTAAATATAAAACACCAACGTTCGAAAATTTTATTCCAAAATTCATACATTAAAAAAATTATTAACAAATAAAATTATATCAAAAAATTAATTTGATGAGAATTTTAATAAGAAACAAACAATTGAAGAAATAAATTTTAAACAATAAGAGTAATATAATCATATATATATATATATATGTTTAAACGAAAATCTTAAAAAATATCATATATATTCTATCATCTTCAAACAAGTATGTAAAACCAAAAAAGAAATAACGATTTATTTTCTATACTTTTCATACCTAATTTCATGATATATATATATATATATATATAGAAAAAAGACCAGAGCTAACTAAATTATATGAAATATATTGAAGTCAATAGATTAAAATAAAAACTATAATAAAATTCATTCCGATAAATTTTGAATAAATATATATAAAATAGGAAATAAAACTTATGACTTTTTTAACCGTTATTAATTTTTTTTCCAAAACTTAAGCCAAATTATTTAAAATATACTCTTAGTTCTCTCTCTCTCTCTCTCTCTCTCTCTCTCTCTCTCTCTCTCTCTCTTATATATATATATATATATATATATATATATATATATATATAAACAAAACACTCATTTAAAAAGCATAAAAATAATTCATTGTATAAATTATAATAATATATTTTTAAAAAACACCGATGTTCTAAAATTTTATTCCAAAATTCATATATTAAAAAACTAAGATTATTAACAAATAAAATTATATCAAAAAGTTAATTTGATTATAATTTTAATAAGAAACAAATAATTGAATAAATAATTTTTAAATAATAAGAGTAAAATTTTTAAAAATCAAGAAAAAAAAAGTAACGATGAAAATTTTTTAAGAAAGAAAGAAAAAAAGATTAAGTAGTATATTGTGAGGGTAAATTAAATCATCAACTCCGTGTCGGAAAAATAACGATCGATTTTTAAAAATTTTAACACTCAATCAAATAAAAAAAGAACATAAATTAATGAGAAAAAAAAAAGACATATAGTGGGATTAAAATTTTTATTTTAAAATTTTAGGGATCAAAATGAAATAATTTAAAATTTTTTTTAAAAAAAACCTAAGGAAAAAAACTAAGGGTGAAAATTTTAAAAAAATAATTTAAATTTTTTTAAAAAACTAAGAAAATAAGTAAGAGTCAAAATTAAAAAAGAAGGAAAAAAACTAATAGTTAAGGGTAAAGTAAAAAAACAATTATACTGTTCAAATAAACAAGTACAACAACGTGATGGTTTCATTGTTCGTTTCAACGATGAAATCATTCCGCGTTTTAGTTTATAAGTAATATTTCTAAGTTGATTAATTTTGCTTCCCACTCACTTAATTTATTAGTCCATCTCAAAGGAAGGTATCGCATAATTATTTTAAGAAAAAAAATCAAGGTAAATTTTCAAATCAAGAACTTACTTTAATAAAGTAAATTCTAGTTCAATTTATTTTAGTTATTAATATTTTTCACACTTAATTTCATGATAATACACACACACACACACACACACACA